CATCACCACATTAAGCAGAGAAAAGCTGCGTTGCTCTGAGTAAACACATCCACACAGCACCATTCCCTGAAGGGGCCCTTTAAATTCTCTGGAACCTTGGGAACAACTGACTGACTGAGCCATTTCTCTCATTTTATAATGTCAAAACTGAGGCCTAGGGAGTTTCAATGACTTGTCTAAGGTTACGAAAGTTAGTAGCAGCAGCAGGATCTAGTCCCTTACTTCCATGGCTGGTGCTTTTCCATTATTTATTACTTATTTAATTACAAATTATTTGAGATGAAATTTAAGGTATAGCATTTTGCACTAGTGTGTCACCAGAAACAAACTTTTTATATCAACATTTCCTCTCCGGCAGGAGTGGGATAAGAAAGAGAGGCCTAGGTTCCTCATACTAAACACCCAACCTGCAGAGAGACTCTTGTTTACCGCTGATGCTGCATTATCATCCCTGCTGGCTGGCCAGGAACACTCGTCAGTCTCCTAATCATGTGGCCAATTTAAAATGTCAGTCTTCATTTTTGTGGCTACAGTTACGGAAAGCTACATATTACTCGTTTTCAACCAGTCAGCCTGTGATAGCTTCTTGAAAACAATGAGCTAGCAAAATTTGCCTAATAATCTCACCCTTATACATAGTTGTATTATGATCTTTACATTTTTTAAAATATACTGCCAGCCACTACCATAACTCTTACTCTTCTTGCAGTGGCTTCAAGTGTTTTCCCTAATGTTTCTAAGCAACCAACTAAAATTGGCAACACTTTATTAAAAGAAAGGGGAAATGATTACTGCTTATTTTAGCACAGAGCGTTCCCAAGTATTGGCTGAATGAAACCTAAATGACAGGTTTTCACTGATAAATATTTTTTGGCTTTTTCAGTGTATTACAATATTCTATACTGCAGAAAAAGCTGCATATGATAGAACAAAAATTGGCCTATTCTATTTATAATATCAGTTTGAGATTTAATTAATCTCTCATCACCACAGTTATTGATTTTCTCTTTTGAATTAGATTTTAATAACCATCTGTGAGAACAGGCTGAAAGCCTGTCTCTGGAAACAATGCCTTGATATTCAGGAACATGACAGCAGCTGTGAGCTGTTATTCTTCCTTTCTTAATAGCAGAATGTCACATCCTGTAGTTTGGCTTTCATTCACTAATGTGAGCAAAGGATTCTGCCTTTCTTTCTGAGTCAAGTTCCATTAACATAGTACGTTAACATTTTGCGTTACTCTTCATTCCAAGTTACCTTCTGAACTAAAAATAAATCCCATCTGGGTCTCTGGTTCTAACCTCATCCTATAATCCTCTTGGCCTTGGCATTACTATTTTTCTTATATAAGAATATCGCCAGTCTCAGGCTTGGCCGAAATCTAGTTCTCTTCCTAATTACATTTCACTCTTATCCTACCTCAGCATGGTATTAATAAAAATGAGTGGGTATAAAAATGTGTGTGTATACTCTGTGAGTGAATAAGTTAATTTATATTTGAATGAGTCTGTATCTAATAGTGGGTGTTTATAGCCAGGTTGGAAAGGGTGTGTGGGAAGAGATAGGAAAGGGTAAGCCTGGTGAAGAGGAAGAGAAACTGTAGAGGAACCTCAAAAGATAATAGTAACAAGACCGATGTTGGAAAGAGGAGGCTATCATCTATTTCTTTCCCATTAATAAAGATCTCCAAATATAATTCATAAGTCATCTGTTGAGATATCTAATTTTACTTGCTGATAAATGGAACCTCTGTCCAATTTGTGCTTACAGTACAAATTACTAGAAGTTGGGTATTTCCATATTTAATAAAAGGTAATAAAAATCAATTTTAGAACTGAATTAAAGAAATTCAGTAATGTTTTCTGCTGTCAGCATCGTTGCTCTCTCCTAAAACTGATGAACAGTATTTCTCAGTGTAATCCCCGGATTAGCAGCATCGGCATCATCTGGGAACATGTTAGAAATGCAAATTTAGGGGCCCCACCCCAGATCTACTGAATCACAAATTTTGGAGAGGGCCTAATAACTTGCATTTTAACAAGCTCTCCAGGAGATTCTGATATAAAATTTTGAAAACCATTGATGTCGAGTATAAGAAATTGGCATCTCTATATTATCTTCTAATATGAAAGTTTACTTTAAAATATACCGTAACACTAATGAAATATATTTTAGTCTGCTGAAGCCAGTGATAGGCCCAAGGATAGCTGCTTGATTGGGAGAATGGATAAGAAAGGAAGGAAGACCTTATAGCTATGTTGGTGCTGTGCTGGTTGACATAGCTGTGTTTGCTTTGTTGAGAATGAGCTCCTGATTATTTGAGAGGAGAATGAAATTCTATATATGTACATTTCATTATTGTACAATTCAGAATCTATAAAATATTAATCTATTCTATTGGTTTGGAAGTGTTAATACTTGAGAAAATATCACCAAAGTAAAATGCTTAGTGGATGGGCTCAACAGCAGAATGGATAGGACGGGAATTAATGAGCTGGAATTTAAAACAATGGAAATTACCCAATCTGAAAAATAGAAAAAAATGAACCATTCAGAGGCCTGTGGGACTATAATGAAAGATGTTGCATTCTTTTCATTGGAGTCTTAGAAGGAGAAGAAAAAGAAGTTAGAATGAAAAAATACTCAAAAGAAATGACTGAAAGCTTTCTACATTTGTCCAAGAGACATAAACTTATAGGTTCAAGACATGAGCAAACTCCATACAGGATAAACCCAAAGAAATCCACATCAGGACATAGCATAATTAAATCTCTGAAAACTAAAGACAAAAAAAAATATTCAACAGCAGCCAGAGAAACATGATACCTTACCTATGTAAGGGAAAAGCCATTCAAATAATAGCAGATTTATCATCAGTAACCATGAAGGCCAGAAGGAACTGGCTGAAAGAACTGCCAACCCAGAATCCTATCCCTCACAAAAATATTTTTCATACATGGAGAGGAAATCAAGACATTCAGATGAAAAAAAATAATCTCTAGAGAATTCATTACCAGTAGACCTACTGGAAAAGAATGCATTAGGAGGTTCTCTAAACAGAAAGGAAATAAAAGGAAACTTGAAACATCAAGAAGAAAGAACATGATTATCAAAAAATAGGTAAATACAATAAACTTTCCTATTCCTTTTGTGTTTTCTAAATTATAGTTTACAGTGGAAACAACATAACACTGGTACGGTTCTAAGAAAATACTTAAGATAACTATAAACAGAAGGGTAAAGAGATATAAAAGGGGACATAATTTCAACTGGTAAGACTATGATTAGTTTTGTGTGTAATGTAATATTTAGAACAACTTTTCAGAAACACTGCAGATAAATCAAAATAGAATTCTAAAAAATGTTCAAGGAACCCACAGGAAGGCAGGAAAAATGAGAAAACATAGAAAACAAAAAATAAAACGACGGACTTAAACCCAAATATAAATGGTCTAAAACAATAAGAAGAAAAAATCCCCCAAACAATAAGTTCTCCATGGTGTTAGCTTCTGGGCAGGTGTAAGCAGAAGGAAGCATCCAGGCTGTTGATGGAGCTGAGAACAGGAGAGCTTCAAAATAAGCAAAAGGTACTCATTGGGGAGCTCAGGAGGCCAGTCTGAGAACAAAGGCTGAAACTGGGAGGTGTCTTTCTAAGAGTAGATGAATGCAGAAGGCCCATGGTCAAATCTGAACTGAGTAGAGAGCCCCTGTGAATTCTCAAAACTGACTGACTGTGGCTCCCTTCCAGGCCAGGGCCCCATATTAAGATTAAATTTGATTAATTTGAGGAGCACTGGGACAGTAAGAGATTAAGGAAAGAGGATACCTGAATAAAAGTGGAAGAGGGAAACGGGGCCCGGAAATCTCAGAAAACAAGCTATCATATATTTGAGTCTCACATAAAAACAACAAAAAAGGGAGGTACACCTCCTTCTAAAGTTTGGGAAAACTCATTTCAAATAATATTGACAATAGAAAAGGAACCAAATTCTGTAATTTTTAGTTAAAAAATTTCATTGTAATAAAAAATAACAGCTACTCAAATAATGAAAACACATCAGAAACATGTACCCACAAAAACAGATAAAATCCTATCTCAAGATAGGAATTTCTTAATGAATTTCTTAATGAATTTCTTAAAATTCATTAAGAGAATGATATGACACTTGGAAGAACATAAATCCGGATTGTAAAAACAAATGAGATGACAATAAAGGAATTAGAAATATGTAAAAAAAATTTAATAGAAACACAAAAGTAACAAACATAACAGTGTGCCTTAAGAAAATTAGAAGATGAAAAGGAGGAAATGTTTAAAATTTAAAAAGAAATGAAATATAAAAAGAATTTGAGGAAATTAACTAAAATTGAAATAGGTAGAGTCTATCCAATATATGCGTAGTCAAAGCAAGCAGGGGCTGGTGACACTCTAGTTAGTGATTTCAAAGATGTCTGCCTTATAATTCATTAAGCCATACATTTGTTTTATGAGATTTTTGTGTATTCATTTTATTTTACAATGAAAAGGTTATGAAGTACAAAAATATAATGAACTGGCAAATATGACAAAGAAAAATACATTAAAATGTCATTCAAATTGTTAAGAAAATACTAAAACTCCAATAAAGAATTTCTGAGAATGCTAATAAATGATTCGCATATATTCGAAGCTTTAATAAACATTAATAATATTGAATCTTAACTATTTCCTGAAAGACAACTTTTGGGAAAAAAGCAGGGGAAAGAAATTCTATATTACATATATAGATAACTTTTAATGTAAGATACAGCCTAATATCTGTTGTGGGTGAAGTTGGGCGTGAGGGGAATAGTCCCATGAGCACCCTTCGCTATGGTAGGTTTTTCTGTTATATGATCCCAAGGTGAATGCAATACAAAACAATTCATTTATTTTCTGTTCATTTTGAATGAGCCTAGAATTTTATAACTTGGAAAAATGTTATGATTAATTACATTCAATGCTTTTTTATACTTCACAGTGAGAGACCTACCACCAATTTGCCTTGATGTTAGACAAAAACAACGTATCTCTACAGATTCATTATCATCCGAAATGAAAGCCCCAGTTCTTCCAGAACCTGTCCTTCCTATTCAGCCCAAAACTATGAAAGACTTTCAGTAAGTTTCAGCCCACAGTTATGTGTAGACATATAGTCATCTGCATTTCAGTACTTTGCGTAATTTAAATATTTTTGTGTGAGAAATTGTGGATCGTAAGATATTAGCCAAGAGTGAAGACACAAAAGACTAGATGTCTCAAGTTGAAGGTGAAAACAAATGTATAAATAACAGGTAATGTTGCAGCAAAAAAACCCCAAAACAACAACAACAACAACAAAAAAACATTAACTAAGAGAATATGAATCCAAACAGGCAAAGCAGGCTATAGAGGTGGTGATAATAGAATATTTACTTTTTTAAATCTACTATGTGACATATGAACTATAAAAGCTATGTCACTACTAAACAAGAATCCAAATAGATATTTGAAGGACTAAGGGATAATGAGAAAGTAGAGGCAGAGAATGTAAACAAAATCTCAAGTTTGGCTATAAAGTGAAAGAGAGTGTTAATTATAAGGAGCATATCAAGAATGAAGTTTTAAAACAAGTAAATGGGAAAGTTGAAGCTGGATTAATATTTTAATCTAAGAATTATAAATCTATAAACTTTAATTGAAACATTTCTGTATTCAGCTTCAGTATTTCAAATTGCATGTTTGGTGACATTTATTCATAAAGAAGTAATGCTATTTTATCTGAATAATATTGCTTTCTATTATACTTAATGTATGTTTTCATTTTAGGGAAGATGTAGAAAAAGTTAAGTCATCAGGAGACTGGAAAGCAGTATATGATTTTTATCTAACAACATTTGATTCTTTCCCAGAACTAAATGCTGCATTTAAGGTAATAATACATAAAACACATTTTTCACTTTTAGTTTTAAATTTTCAGAAAATGATACAAATTTACCTCTTTTTCTTTTACGCAACATTGACTTAAGCAACTGTTTAAAAATATATATGTATTAACTTCTGAAATTATATGTGTCAGAAATAAATATTGAACTGATATCTTGATTGTTTTTATTTGTACTAAATGTTAATGTCTGACTCCAGTCTTTCAGTTTTCAAAAGAATGTTATTAAGATAATTCTTAATTCATTGTTTTTAGCAATTTTGCTCTAAAAGTTCTTTTTTTATCATCATACTGAAAAATATTAGAAATTATGAAGGAACAGATATGGTTCAAATATTACTAAAAACAGTCCTTAAAACGCTATATACACTTAATTCTTTAACTGAATTTGCAGAAAGATGCCACCACCTCATTTAATACCACTGAAGACTCTGGGATTAATGCTAAATTTGTGAATGCTGTATATGATGCCTTACTTAATACTGTAAGTACTGTTTATGAACAAATGCAGATAGTACAATTCTTTGTCTCTTCTGTATTTCAAAAGCAGCTACACAAATGTAAAAACCACACAAATACTATAAAAATCATTTTGTAACAATTATTTTAGAAACTCTGATATAATTTATAGTAAATTTACTTGGAATTCTCAGAAAGTTAGATTGTTTTTATTTTTTTAACTAAATGAGAATTAAGCAGAAAATACATTTATGTCCAGTTCTTGTTTAGGAAGGCTTGCTAAAGTAAAATTACGCTTCACTTACTCAGCAAAAGGATGTTAAATTATTTGATTGTATTGGCATTACACTGAATCTACGGAGTGGTTCTCGAACTTTAGCATGTATCAGAATCACAGGAAGGGCTTCTTAAAATACAGAGGTTCAGATTTACTAAGCCTGGGGTAGTGCACAAGAATCAGTGTTTCCAGCAAGTTCCCAGGATATGTAGATGCTCCTGATCCAGGGACCACATTTTAAGAACTCCACTGCTATAGATCAGCTTGTGAAGAATTGACGCTCTTTCAATCCATGAGCATGGAATATCCCTCCACTTAGATCTTTAATTCTCTTGGTTGTGCTTTGTAGTTTTCTGGGTAAAGATCTGACACATGTCTTGTTACACTTATTTTTAGGCACTTGATTTTTTTTTTATGTTATCATAATTTAATTTTCTAATTGTTATTAATATATAGAAATACTTTCATGTATTTTATCTTTATTTACCTTGCTAAATTCATTCATTAATTCTAATAGTACATCAGATTTATTTGGATTTTCTATATAGACAATCATGTCATTTATGAATAAATGAGAGTTTTATATATTTCTAATCCTTGTATATATGTATGTATGTATGTATAGTTATATTTGCCTTATTTCACTGGCTAAAATCTCTTGTACAATTTTGAATAAAGTAAGTAATAGCAGACATCTTTGCTTATTCCTAATCTCAGTACTTCACCATTAAATGTATGAAAGGGTACTTAATAATATTTGTCATCAGAGAAATGGAGATAGCATTACACATCCATTCAAAATTAGTAAAAATAAATTTAAGTACCTTACCAAGAATTGCAATACTGTGGAGCCGTCAGACCTCTCACAGCCTGATTAGGTAAGTATAAGCCAGTACAACTACTCTGGAAAACTACTTGGCATTATTACTAACACTAAACATATGCATATACTATGCCTCAAAAGTTCCACTCCTAGGACACATCTCTGACTTCTGACTTGGAATGATGTTAATGTTTTATAGGCACTAAAAAATTAAAAATCTACAACATGCTGGAAGAACTCTCTCTTATAATAGAAACAGAAGAAAACAACCTAGGTATATTTCGAATGAATACCATAACCATACTTAAAAAAAAAAAACTAAGTCAATTATACTTGAAACTAATAAATTTTGAAAAAAGAAAAAAAGAAAAAGAAAACTAAGCCAAGTAATTTATATACATAGTACATTAAACATTCTCAGTCTAAAGATTTTTTTTAATCTGTAAACAAATCTTCAATTTTTCTTAGTTTTTGGTATTAAGGCATCATAATGAACTCAGAGATTTTAATAGATATGGATACGTGTGTGTGTGTGTGTGTGTGTGTGTGTGTGTGTGTGTGTGTGTGTGTGTGTCCTAACCCTGTTCACTGAAAGGGCCTCTAAGCAATAACATTCAGTAGTAATGAACACTTTAGCACACATAGTTTCTAAATACCATACCTCACTAAAAGGAATCGGAACTCCCTAAAGAAATTGCTAATGCCAGGACTGAGATAGGGAAAAGTAGAAGATGAACCTAGAACATCTAGTTTTTCACCATTAAAATGATGTTGGCTGTAGGTTTTTTTGTGGATGTTCTTTATCAAGTTGAAGAAATTCCCCTCTTCCTAGGTTGAGGTGTTTTGTTTGTTTGTTTGTTTGTTTGTTTGTTTGTTTTATCATGAATAGGCGTTAGATTTTGTCAAATGCTTTTGTATGTGTTGATATGATCATATGATTTTTCTTCTTTAGTCTGTCGATATGAAGAATTACATTAATTGATTTTCAAATGTTGAGCCAGCTTTGCATACCTGGAATAAATCCCACTTGGTCATAGTATATAATTCTTTTTATAAATTGTTGGATTCGATTTGCTCTTACTTTATTAAAGATTTTTACATCTTCTGTTCAGGAGAGATATCCATCTGTAATATCCTTTGTTTGGTAGTAGGATAATGCTGACCTCAGAATGAGTTAGGAAATTCCTTCTGCTTCTATTTTTTGGAAGAAATTGTAAAGAATTAGTATCCATCCTTTCTTAAATTTTCAGTAGAATTCGCCAGTAAAATCATCTAGGCCTGGTGCATGTGGTTTGGTAGGTTATTAATTATAGATTCAGTTTCTTTAATAGATATGTCTATTCAAATTATCTATTTGTATGAGTTTTGGGAGAGTGTATCTCCTAAAAAATTAGTCCATTTTATCTAGGTTTTCAAATTGTGGGCATAGAGCTGTTCATAATAGTTCTTTGTTATCCTTTTAATGACCATGAGATCAGTACTGATGATCCCCCTTTCATTTCTGATATTAATAATTAGTATATTTTCTCTTCCTTTGTTGGTTAGCCTGGCTAGAGGTTTATCAACTTAATTGATCTTTTCTAAAAACCAGTATTTGGTTTCATTGATTTTCTCTATTACTTCCCCTGTTTTCAATTTTGTTGGTTTCTGCTCTTTTATTGTATATTTTCTTTTACTTACTCTGGATTTTATTTGCTGTTTTGTTTTAATTTCCTAAGTTGAAAGCTTAAATTATTGATTTGTGATCTTTCTTTTTTTCTAATATAGTCATTCACTGCTATACATCTTCCTTTTAAGTACTGCTTTTGCTATATCTCATAAAATTTTGATAAGTTGTATTTTCATTTTCTTACAAAGTTAAACATAGGCTTGCAGTATGAGCCAGCAATCCTACCCAAATGATTTGAAAACTTATGTCCACACAAAAGCCTGTACACAAATTTTATAGCAGCCTTACTCAAAACTGCCACAAATTGGAAGTGACCCAGATGTCTTCAGTAGGTGAAGGGATAAACAGTATTTTAAAAGTCATCTAAGTAGCTCATCCTAATTAACTTACGATTTTCTTTTGCCTACAGCCTCAAGACATTCAGAAGACAGTATTAAAGGGAATCATTAACAGCCTGTTACGAGAATGGAAAGGGTAATTGTAACTAATATTTAGCTAGTCGATACAGATGGTTAATTTACACATCCCATATATCTTTAATATATATGTATTTTACTCTCAGAATAGACTTTAGTTGTTATAATAAAAACAGATGAGAAAGAAGTTATTAACCATTTCTAACAAAGCTTTTTAACTTGAGATTTGTGACATCAGGAAGGTCCATTGGTGGGCTTCAGAGGCTCTCTGCATGCTTTAAAATTGTATATAAAATTTGTTGTGTACAATTATATGTGCTATACAAATATAGGATGGGTAGTTACGTCAGTACCTAAGATGAAATAATATGGGCATTAAATTTAGCCTTGGACTTACTGGTAGCCAGAGCAAGTGTTTTTTGTTTGTTTGTTTCTAATTAAAAAAAAGTATAAGTTTAGCTACTGAAATATTTTTTTCTTGGAACTAAATTTTGAATCATAAAAGGAATGATAGGCAATGTAACTGATAATGTTTTGAACCGTGAATATGTAGGACGCAAAAATGTACTTTTAAAAGTACATATTATTTAAATTGACATTTAAACAGCATTATAATTTAAATAACAGCTTCTAGTAAGGCCAAATGAATATCATTAAATTATAATTCAAATGTTTATATTAAGCCCAATTTTAAAATATTATTGAACTAGAATTCTTAAATATAATGTTGAACATACCTTATATATTTTAATAACATTGTTCTGATTTTCAAAGAAATTCAGATTATAGAAAATTTTTAAAAGCCATAATAGTATTTAAAAAGTTAACATTTTGCAGTTTTTGTCTAGTCATATTTTTTAAATAAATTTTTACTTAATTATAGTTGATATACAGTCTCAATGTGGCTTCTTCTCTATATCCTTAGTTATATGACTTCTGTTCAGCTAGACTTCAGGCAGTTCTCAATGATGGTAGTTCTGTAATTGTAATTTTGATGTATCTAGTCATCTTTTTAAAACAATTGAAATCATAATGTATATTTTCATATGATTTTTAACTTAAAAAGTATTTTTCCTAATTTATCATTCCAGTAATAAATTTGCATTTTCTTTGAATTTTATATTTCTGGTTGAAAACATAATGCTTCATTAAAAATAAAGAGAAAAATTTAGCGTAAAGAGACTTCTTAGGAGAATGAGAAAGTTGAGTGGTCTGTAACTACTGGGATCTCAGTTCCCTCTAATAGATAAACCCACAAAGCTTTCTAACCTCTGCTCTTCAAAAGTGCGCCCAAGGCAGATTAAAATAATTTGATGTAACTTATGTATCAAAGGAGCACGTGGTCTTTACTGAATAATTTTGTTTTATTTGGGATTTATCATAACAAAGTCTAGTCTATTGACTATTATGGGCTAGGCACCTTTTTATCAATTTTACATGTGTTTCTCATTAAATCTGTAACTATAATCCTATGAAATACGTAATATGATTATATGCATTTTACATTTGAGAAAACTAATTTACAGAGAAGTTAAATACATTGCCTGTAGATACTCCAGTAAATGTCTGAGTCAGGACTAGAACCCAGGCAGTGTGGCAAAAGAACCTGTGATCTTAAGCACAATTTCTATACCAAGAACTGTATACTGTACTGAAATACTAGTGCATAGGATAGAAAATTGGAAATTGTAATGGCACAGCTAAAAAATGGAAAAAAAGCAGGACTCTCCTATCACCAGGAATTTTAATATTTATGAAGTGCCTTGAATGTTTTAAAATATTTTCAAGTATAATTTATAAAACAAAACAGTAGTCTCATTGAAAAAATACTCTGACAATTATATAGAGTATAGACAAAAATAGTTTAGATTTTATTTGAACCTCAATGAATCATTGTTAAATTGCAATTATTCTTCCACAAAGAAATAGTACTAATTAAAATTTTTATATATACATGTGTATACATGTTTATTTCAAATCTAAAAATATATTTGTTATATATTTATATTTCAGATTATGTGGCTTTACATTTTGTAAAGGTCATCCAGTATAATCTAGGCAATGATTTATGTTTTCATATTTATTTTGTTAACTATTCCAAAAAAGTAAATAATTATTTGGTCATTTTATTTTCTCAAAGGAAATTTAAAAAAAATACTTGGACGTAAACCATTTTTTCCCCAACATTTAGCAGAAAAGTTAAAAAATGAAAATTCGTTCACTCTTCACCAGTGGTTAAATTTTTGCCACATTTGCTTTTGCTTTCTCATCCTCTGAGTGTATGTGTAATTTTTTTAAGTAAATGGAAGACATTTCACCGCTAATTACTTCAGATGTATTTCCTACTAACATTTTTCTGCATAGCCATAAAGCCATATCACACCAAACAAATTTAATATTCATTTAATAATACCCTCTAAAATGCAATCTACATTTAAATTTTCCCAGTTGTCTCCAGAGTGGTATTTAATGTATGGGTTTTGTTTTTCAATCCAGGATCCAATCAAGGAACATGAATTGCATCTGATTATATAGGTGAACCATTTTTAATTCAAGAAATTACTTCTAGGTTTTTGTGAGTGTTCAACAGATCTTGAGAGGGAGAGAAAGAAACACTTATCAACTTTGGGAATAACAAAACTTTTGTCAGATTTGATAGGGCGAAAATCCAGATTAACATGGAAAAAACAAAAATTAGTTACTTTTCAGAGGTATTCAAAATACGATTCTTTTAATTAGAAATATACCATATATTTAAAGTGTGGTTTGATTTGCAAACACTTCTACATCACTTCAGAAACAGAACCATAAACACAAGTATATTTTTTTCAATGCATAAATATTTTTGAGCTATCAGTCATCCTTTATTAAAACAAAAACATAAGTATTCTAAAATCGTTAATTATTTTTCAGACTCTGAACTGTTTGCAGAGTTGGTCATATTTACTTCATAAAATGTTACAGCCTAATTCAGTTTTCAGGCATCTTCAGAACCAGCATAGAGTAAGCACAGAGAACCTATAGTCTCAACATATTGTGGATATGTTACTGTCTCAATAACAATACATGCTAACTTAAATCAAGTTTCTGGCTTTTATCAACTCAATTCTCACAGAAACATATACTGATCATTTTTTATTAGATACTGTTGAGACTAAATATCTCTAATCGATTATGCTTCTTTTTCAGCCCACGAACAAAAGATGATCTTAGAGCATATTTTATACTTTTACAGGTAAGAAAGCAAAAATTTAGCTGAAGTTGTCTAATTTAGATCTCAATCAATGCATGTGTAAATGAAATTATATCAAATATTAAGAATTATTTTGAGCAACATTATTGATACTTTTTAGATTAATCATAACCTGAGAATTAAAGCTCTAACAAATAAATAATGGGAAGCTAAATTATCTCCAGGATTAAAATTTTAACTACTTCTTGTCTTCCTGCTGTAGTATTCAGGAACAAACAAAACGGAAGTACTTCCTCCTCCAGTCATCCTTCTTTCATGTAATTGGTATTAACAGGCTCTAAAACTTTCTTTTATTTCCCAGGTAGTAGGTTTACAACTTCTCCATGTATTCTCAATAAATGCTTAAGTTAGAATTCTAATGGAAAAATCAAAGTGGTTGTTTATAGTTGCTAAAGCAAAGATGAGCTTTTTCTTCTTGAGAGATACAGATTCATATATATAAAAAATAAGTTAAGGTCCTGACAAATAAAAAGCAGTTTTTAATTTTTATTATTATTTGAGAAAGAATTATTTGATGACCATAGCTAGCATACTACATTTGTGTCGTTTATAATTTACAAAAGGTGTTTGCGTATATTATCTCATTTAAAGGTAAGAAAAAATTATACTAAATACAATTTAGTAGTTAGTTCATACTGTGGTCCAACAAAAAGAAATATGCAGGGTATGGATAGAGGAAAGGAAAGAGAATAAAAAGAAAAGTGGGAAGAAAAGGGAAAAATAGACAAGAAGTAGTTGAGAGATATAAAGGGGTGAAATATGGAGGAGAAAGGCAAAACTAGAAAAAAAAGAAAAAATATATGTAGAGATAGTAAAAGCTAGAAATGACAACATGAAGCTCAACTTTTTAGGTGAGTGCTGTACATTAGTCAGCAGTAAGTTCTGCGTACGCAGATCCAGGTCTGCCTTAATTCCAAAGCCCATGACATGCTGTTTCCATTATACAACAGTGGAATCTAAGTCTCTGTTAATTCAGTAATTAGATTATTGTTTTAAAAGATTTCACTTAGTATTTCATAACCTCAAATTTAGTTTCCTGAATTGATCACGTAGCTCATTAAGCTTAGTGTCTTTCCTTTTACATGTTAACAAAATTTTAACGGTTATCTTTAATATCTTTTTCAGAATCCTCAATTTAATAACACATCTACGTATGTCATCTATGCTCACTTGCTTCGACAGATAGCTACCTTAGTGGAAGCTGACCATCATTTCCTAGTTCACTGGTTTAAAAAGTAAATAATTCTATGATATTAAGAACTTTATAAATTTAGAATTTTAAGTTTAGAAATGATACTTATACTTTACAGTGCTTCAAAGGTAATTATAACTATATACTTTAGTACTACATAGAGGATAATTAAAAGTCTTTTTAATGTAAGTAACCATTTTGCTTATGCAAGCTATTGTTGAGATTCCTATCCACTGCTTTTGCTTGTTATACAGCACCTTCCTATCATTGGTTTTTCATGTATCTCAAAGATGGTGGCTGGATTTGCTCAGTCATTGCTGTTTTAATTTGTATATTTTTATTTCCTATCTGTATATCAATAAATTTCACCATTATTTACTTACTTTCC